GTTAATTTACGTCGCACTAGAGCTGCACAATGGGCTATTGGCGACGGTCTGGGAAACATCCCGGAGGATGATCCGAAGACATGCCATCACAATTTTGATCCTCTGCGGAGGGGAAAGTAACATATCAGAAATGATTGAATATGATTTTTAAGTAAAGAAGAAAAGACATAAACATGTTTTAGAAATTTGATAGATTGCTTCATATTGCTATTAGGATAATTAAACATGTTGCTAATTAGCGAGGTATAGCTTTCTAAAATCCTACCTACTGCTGCTGCTAGTGTCCTCTACATTGTATATTGATTAAGATCTATTTCGCTCCGATAAGTTAGCAGAGGGCAAAGCGAGACGGACGGAAACTTTCTACTTCCCAAAAATATAAACAAAAAGGAGCAGAAGATGGTTCTATGCTCTTACATAATTTTAATAAATACATTTATATCTAATGAAGTTTTCCTACAATCAATGCGTAAAACTAATTGAATATTATTAAAATACTATTTACATTACAATAATTACGGCTTTTTGTTTGTAATTGTTTTGATATTATGTTTGTAAAGTAGCACTTCAAAGCGGCAATTTAAATACGATATATTTGTCGTAATATACTTTGTTTGTAAAAAAATTTAACTTTTAATTTAAAATTTATTTACCTTTTTAACTCCGAATCAACTGTTTGTGGTTGCATAAGTATGATCTCAGAAAACTCTACGAACGATAAAGCAACATCTACAACTGCCTTATTCACATCAGAGGAATTGCTAGTCCTGGCAGAAATCGACAGGTATAAAATTATTTCAATATATAAGGAAGGAATCTTATATTTTATGAAATATCTTTCTGAAATATTTAGTAGTTCTTCATTTTAGAACTTGGGTTAATAAAATATTTTTTACTCGAGAAATGAATTATTTTATTCTTAAAATTTTTTTTTTAATAGCACTACAAATTTTTAAATTTAATTTGCGATTTGTGCTGATTTTATATTTGATTAGTAGCTTCAATTCGTAGTACAGTACAGAACCCGTTATCCGGAAATCAGAAAACCAAAAAACTGGAACGAAATTCGATAAATTTTCTCGCCATTTATCCTCATAAGATTTTACGATTTTTCTTTCTTTTTTTAATGATGTTTACCTTACCATCATTTTGTAAATAATCATTAGTGTATTACTTCATCGTTTTTTCTTATTTTAAGATTATTTCCAAAATTTATTATTTTTTTTAGTTGGGTTTAACAATAAAAAAAACGGCTTTTTGTAGCGATTCAGAAAACCGGAAAAATCAGTTATCGATGGTCCCGACCCTTCCGGATAATCGGTTCCTTACTGAATTTCTTTTTGCATATGTTATTAAATTGTATTGTTATGGAATAAGGAATAATTACGAGATGTGTCCAGTTCAATAATAGTTTATTTTTTGGATATTGCCTTGTTACATCACACTTTCAAATATACCTCTTTTAGAGATCTTTACCTGCCTGCACCAACTGAAATTGCTAAATAACACTGTCAGATTTTTGTACTTCAAATTAATGTGATGGTGATGCCTATGAGTTTGTCCCAAGTGATTTCTTTTAATGTCTTTCCAAGATTTATTTCTCAAAATTTTGGTAAATATTAAGTTTTTTCCTGAGAAAGAGAATTGATTTGTATTTTCTATGAATTAATTGTAATTTAACCTGTAAGAAGTCCCTTCATATTTTGTTTCTGCACAATAGTTTGAGAACCACTAAAAATCTTTATATGAAAAAGAAAATTTGCGTTAATTTTTTTACAATTGCATTTCTCTAAGGTAATTTTTTTTTTTTATAATTTGTATTAACAAATAATCCTTATAAATTTTTATAGTTGAGTCTTGATAATCCAAATAACCGAAATTCAAGCTCCACTTAATCCTAGCTCAGTCAGCGCTTAAGTATGACATTTCAAAAATATTTTAATAAATTTAAATATTATACTATTATAAGAAAAATGCTGTTTGTTTTCTACTTATGGCATCTAATAAGTCTTGAAAAATAGTTATTTTGCTTATAGTTTATTTTATTTTTAGTATTAAGAAATAGTTTACTTCTAGCTGTATATGAAATGTATGAACTAAGAAGCAATTTTGTTTAAAATGTGAGGGCATAAACTGTAAAAATGGGACTTAAAAGAAGTGAATACCGATATTGTAATGCATTGTAAAATTGTATCAATGAAATTTTTTGGAATTTGTGTAGTCAGTGACAAAATGGTTAATAGTAGACTGGGAATTTTTCAAATGGTATTCTTAGACTACATCTGTTGTTGGAGAGAAATTTACTACAAAATCACATGCCATTATACACTAATAAGCACTTAAGACATTCTTTCAGATTTGGCATTGATTTAAATTCATTAGAACTTAATTTAAACTCCTAAGTAAATGAAACAAACTACTTTGATTCATATCTTTCTTTCTTGTTCGATCGCTATGCAGTAGACAGTTTCTGCAATTCAACTGTAACATTTGGTCACTATCAAAATAAAAAGGTTGCCGGTCGCTGAAGCTTATCTCTTTCGGCAGGTCATCTGTAGTATATTCTTTATCCACCAATGGAAAAATTCATAGACATTTTTCGCAGCTATGGGTTAGGGAAACATTTTCAACTGTAATTTTTCAATTAGTGTCCTCTCATAGAGTTTACAATCTTATCATAGATAGTGTCTGTAATCATCTAAAATATGGCTTAAACTTCATGGTATTAACAACATTATTTTTAAAAAGGTCTTTTTAAAATAAAATTGAATAGTTATTTCTATTTAGAATAATTTTGAACAATTTTGTTTACAATGATGATGAGTTTTCGTGTTTAAGATTTCTCCTTATTAGAAGTTTTAAGCCTTTATCTATATATATTTTAAATTTTTATTACGTAGGGTGACCCGGAGTAATTCACGATCACTCTGTTTCTGGTGTAAATAATGATCACCTATGTTATATTTTTAAAAAAAATTTATTTTTTTTAATTTGAGACATGGACAAGAATGCTTGTACACTTTACTAAAGTATATTGCTTTATCTAACAAAATAAGTATCTTTTAAACTGCTTTCTGTATTTTCAATTTCAATGATGGGTTTCAAAATGTGCACATTTCTGCAAAGCTGCAACCCCTCCTTCTCTTAATAATAAATATTTTGAGTTACTTTATATTTCTTTGACATAAAAATAGTGTAAGCTTTTGTTTAATTGTTTCACATCTACTGTAAACATTATAATTGATTATAGAAAACTGTATCAAATGTTGCCCTCTACAGATGGGGTAATTATTGATCACTGGGGTAATTCCTGATCATTGTCATTTCTTCTTATAAATAGTATATAAAATAGCTAATAAATAGCTAATTGTCTTTTCTTAAATAACAGTTCATATTTATTAAGTGGAACAACTATAAAATATATTTTAACTGTCATCACAAAATTTGTTTTTAACGGTATACAAGACTGTATTCTGATTTGCACCATTTCTGGTTTGTCATACCTTGCTTCTATCTTAATTTTATGTGTGTACATTGTTAGAATAATTTTTAAGTTTATAAATTAGCTTAGTATAAATATGGTGAGAAATTATTAGCCTAAAAAGGATACTAAGCTTCTAGAAAGCAAAATTAGTGAATTTCTTTTAATGATTGAAAATGAAAATTTCAATGTGAGAGCTGCTGCCAGAGCTGTTGAGTTGACATACCTTACTTTACTTTACACTTTCACTTAATGAAGTTAAAAAATCCAGCAAAAGTAATCCATGAGGGAACTCTCTTATATTTCAGCAGAACATGAGAATGAGTTGGTTGATTGCCTAAAATGTATGGCATGATGCAAAGATTTTTTGCAATTTAAAGTGTTAATCTTTCTTCTTGCTTTTAAATAAATAGTTTTATTAGCTGCTTAAACATATCTTTTTGGTTTATTTGTTTGATCTTGATGTCTTATTTGTTAATTACCATTATATAATTATTTTTAAACAGCCCCTTTACAATAAAAACTGGTGATCAGTAATTACCCCAGAAGTGATCAGGAATTACCCCAGAAATGATCAAGACCAGGGGTAATTCCTGATCACTAAAAATTTAAAATCTTTTAAATTCTAATTAGATTTTCAAACAAAAGAAGGAGGCATAGGACTCATCTCATATAGCCTCAAACTTCCAGTAAATATTAAAATTTTATCTTGAATAGTTTTTTCACAAAATAGATGTTTGCATTTTTTGATCAGGAATTACCCCAGGTCACCCTAATACAGTACAGAACCCGTTATCCGGAAATCAGAAAACCGGAAAACCAAAAAACCGGAACGAAATACGAAAAATTTTCCCGCTATTTTAAAAAAAAATATTTTTTTCCTCATAGGATTTTAGGATTTTTTGTTCTTTTTTTAAAGATGTTTACCTTACCATCATTTTGGTAATAATCATTAGTGTATTACTTCATCGTTTTTTCGTCTTTTTAAAATAATTTCCAATTTTTTTTTGTTGGGTTTAACAATAAAAAAANAAGATGTTTACCTTACCATCATTTTGGTAATAATCATTAGTGTATTACTTCATCGTTTTTTCTTCTTTTTAAAATTATTTCCAATTTTTTTTGTTGGGTTTAACAATAAAAAAAACGGCTTTTTGCAGCGATTCAGAAAACCGGAAAAATCAGTTATCCGGAATATCGATGGTCCCGATCATTCCGGATAATCGGTTCCCTGCTGTATAAGTACATTTTAACATTCATCTTGCTAGGTAATAACATGTAATTCTATTCCTTAACTATCTATGAGTTTAAAGGTCTATTCCTTAACTTTACAATAAGTTTTAAAATGTTCATTTGCTACAATTAGGAAGAAATTTAAAACTTTATATGTATGCAAGTTTGTCATCTTTTTTGAATTAAAGTTTCTAATTTTCATTACTATTAAAAATGGAAAATGGATGTTTCCGTTAAACGAACGTCCGGATATGGAATTTTGTACTGTAATTACTCTAATGAAAAAGCAAAAAACAGTACCAAATAATCTATACTTTTTATTTCTAACAGTTTCTTTTTTCTTTGATATATCTTGGTTTTGATTTAACCTCATGCCTGAGACAAGAAATTCACAATTCTTAATTTTTCAACAACTTGGCTTTTTTATTCTCTTTAATGGATGGAATTTCTCATTTGTATTAAATAAATCTTTTTATACTACAATGGGAAGCTTGTTTTATACCCAAATCACTCATATGAAGCATGTAATAGCCTTTCCTTAGTTCTTTCTTGTTCTTAATCTACAATTTAATAAATGTACTTGAGAGCGATTCTTGCAAAATAAGATAGATTCATAAAAATAATACTTGTAAGAAAATTCTTCAAAAAAAACCTAGAAGAGATTTGGCATTTATTTATAAATCTGGGAATACTGACTTTATTTAGTTATACTAATTTTAGAACGTATTATTAAATTTAGTAACTGAGAGAGAAGCCAAATAGCATTAGTATTCCTAGGAATGCCACTAGAAATAGGAAACATTGGGGGTAAGAATTCAAGTAAAGATATTTAGACAAATAGCTTTATTTAATCATTAAATAGTCTTAAGACTTAAAAGTTATTATTAAACATTGCCAATTTGGTGCGATTTTTCTACTTGAATGAAAATTATTGTCAAATAATTTTCACAATTTGCAAATGTTTATGAACCCAATCAATGTAGTGTGGACAAACATTTTTCGTATTAACAAAACTGCAGCTTTTTTTCATATTGACACTTAGTACTATTTTCATAATTAGCACAAGTGGTGTTGGCTAAAGGTAAGCAAATTTTAATCTAACCGCCATGAGTTACTATTGATATCTCACATCAGTTATAAAAATAGCAGATTATTTTCTAAAAAGCATTACTTTACATTGATGTAACTTTGAGATTGAAGAGTTGAAATTTACGTCATTTTAAATTAATTAAATTAAATAGCAATTTTTTGGTAACTATAAAAATATAAATTGCGATGGAGCATGCTCCTCAGCAACGTGCATCAGTAATTAATGGAGGAGCATGGCTCCAGTTTTTGATTAGATTAGTGTGTATAGCTCCATCTATTGTTGACCTTGTCAGAACCATCTCTTGGTGGCCATTTCAGTACCCCCTTAAAGCGAAGCGTTTGGAGAGATGAACTGGCAGTATTCTTCTTCTTCTAGATGTCTACTTTGTTGTTCAGGAGGGTAAAGGAGGTTGTTACAATCTTTTTATCTGTTGTGGTGGTGGTTTGATAGGAGAATCACTTATTTGCAATAAAACTGGTTTCAGTCTGTTGATAGAAACTACAATTTCTTTTTCATCTTTTAGGATTTTAATTATTTTGTCAGTTCTGCCGATGGCTTTGTTTGGTTTATTTGAAACAGGGCGTATAAGAGCTCAAATAGCATCAAATATTAGAAATACATAGCTGCATGTTGTAACTTTTAGCCTGGCAATAAAAGAAAGTTCTTCCAATGAGTGATATAACTGTGAGATTGAGAAGAGGATATCAATATCACTTTTAAACAATTTAATTAAATAATAATTTCTATAACACAGTAAATACAATTTAAATAAATTATGATGAATAAATTATACATTGCTCTTGGCAACCTGCATGAGCAAACAATGGAGGAGCATGGCCCTTAGGCAACATGCTTGGGCAGGAGCTAGCTCATAACTAGCTACAACTTCAAAGTTATTATGATACTATAGTTCGAAGCTGAAGGGGCAGTTTTTGATTCTAGATCAATGGATACAGCACTATCTTTTATTGTGAGTTGAAGCACAATCTTTTCCATTGCAATTTTATGTAACGTCAGAGCCTTCAAAGATCAGTCTCAATAGGTAATAGAGGCAAATGTCCCCATAAACATCTATTTTAATGGATCCCTGAGTATTTCTGGGTTTAAGTGGAAAATAACTATTCAGGAAAGTGATAATTTCTTTCTTGAGCTTTAGACAATTAATAATTAAAATAAAATTATATTTGCATTAAGTGAAATGGAATTTCAAAATCATACATTTTCAACTTACAATTCATGTTCTTATTTTTTGGAGCACAAATATTCAATTAATAAACATTGAATTTTTTTTATTGTAATTAAATTTTCAATTTCTTCTTACAAGTTTCAAGTAAAATGTAAACTTAAATACTATAACATTTCTGATCTTTCAGTAATTTGTTGTCCAAGGAAAAAATAAAATTTTTGTTGCATTATTGTTTTTATTGATTTTTTTTCCGCTTTCAGCCGCTTGTATGGATTTTTGAAGTTAAATATGCCGGAAAATGCTAAGAAAAAGGCTCTTATTGTGAAGGTAAATAATTTTTCATCAAAATTTTTATAATAGTCATATGCTTAATTAGTATAACTGTACTACTTTACTTAACCCCATTTTTTTTTAATGGAGTTAAGTTCTTTATTTTGTTAAAGCATTGAGCATGTCTTACTCAAATTAGAATGTATAGTTAAAATAAAAGAAAATAAGAAAGCTATTCCATGATTATCTGGTTGAAAAGAATTCAGCATGTACATTCTATGTATTAAATGAATTCATAGTGGCATAAAATAAATAAAAAATTTAATTAAAAAATAGCTACTCGAAGTAAAAATTGTTATACTGATAATAATGAAAATCTTTTGAAAAATTGGTAAATTTAAATCTAAAAAGTAATTCTATGGGTCTTGAATGATATTCAGAATTTTTTTTTTGTTGACATATTGAAGGGATTCCTGGTTGAATAATGGCATATTAAGAAAAATAATAACTGTTATATATGAATACTGAAAAACTAAATTACTGTAAGAGTTATAATCTGTTTCATCATTACCAATTTGAGTCAAATCAACTATATTTTCTTTTAAAACAAGTAAGATGTATATTACGAGCAAATGATACAGTGACAAAAAAAAAAAAAAAANTGAAAAAAAAAAAAAAAAGAAGGGTAAATTTTTAAAATTTATTTTGCCTTAATTTGATTGAGAAATTGTCTTCGAAGTTTGAGTAAATGTTTTAAAGTTTTGATTTTCTTGAAAATTTCTCAAGAAATGGTTAAATATGCAAAAAGTAAAATTGACAATTAAGGGTTTAACATTTGACCACTCTCCTTACCAAACTAATGGGACAATAGATTGTGTCTACCACTCATATTTTATGTGTCAAGAATCTAAATTCAACAAAAAAGGTATGTTTATTCAGTAAAAGTGTGTTTTTGTGTTTGATTTAGTATTTTAAAATACCATCTTCACTAATTAATTGGAATATTTATGGTAAAGCGCATGAACCTTTAAGATTGAGTCTTAGTACGTAAAAATCCTATCGCTAGATCAAAATTTATCCAGGGTGCTCTGTTTTTTTCTTCACTCTGTACCATTGTAGTTTGAAATAAAAATTAATAGTTAAAATTAATAATGTTCATTCTCTAAAAATCAGAAGTTATAGGACATGGGTATTGGTGGTAGGGTGCTAATGTGGCTCAAAAACTTTTTAGTGCAGCGGTTTTGTGCTATTCGATTTAGAGACTGTGTCTAAAATTTTAAACTAAGAAAAACTTGGTTACACAAAGTACAATATTGAGTACAATTTTATGTAATATTTATATAAATGATCTTATTAAAATTTTACTATCTGATGGCTTAATTAGGGCGGTTTTATTCACTGACAACTTAGTACTCTAGAGTGCCTTTGCTGAAGAAGCACAAACTTAGCTTAGTCTTAAATTCTGAACTTGAGAGACTTTGATAGTAGTAGTGTTCTCCCTAAGCGTTTTAAGAAGGGCACCCCTCCTGCCCTTTGATCTCTGTAAATGATCCTTCTTTGCCCTTTTGGTAAAAATAATTTGCCATCCCTTAAGAATACTGCCTTTTTATTTCATTTTTTAGATAAAGGCTGTTTTCTTAACCAAATGTCAAGTATCCACCTCTGATTTATTTAGTCTTTGATAATTATTTAACTTTATTTTTAATTTCATTCCTTCATTTTAGTAAGACTTTTCTTGTGTTGTCTAGTTATATATTTAAATTTTGCATAATATTCAGTATCAGAGATATTCATATCTTGTATTCGGTTTTTTAGTGATTTTAAATTTTATTATTTTTTTAAAAATACCTTTTATTTTAAAATGCACCTTTAAATGTTTATTTATTTTCTCATAATTTTCAGTTTAAAATAATAACAAAAAAAAGCTTTCAAGTTGTTTAGTAACTAATCCTTTTTTCTTTTTTTTTTAGTTTGCTTTTTTTGAAGAAGATTTATACACAGAGATTAGCTTGCCTTTAATTATTTTTTTGAAAGCTTCAAATTTTTCTGTTATTTTGATAATGATTGAGAACTACTTCGTGAAATATGCACATAAAATAGTATAAAAAATTGAGGATTACATTAAGTTGTATAATATTACACACTTTGATAAATTTTAACGGTGGTAAGTATGTGCCCTGCCCTTTCAAAACTTTAAGTACCCTTTTCTGTGATGAAGCACCCTGCCCTTTTTTATTCTTAGGGGGAACTCTATTGGTGGTGTACTGAAAGTAACATGTCTGTAAACACTGATAAGATTTGTGCTCTATAGTTTACTCTTATAGTTAACAATTTTTGCTCTTGAACTGATTTACTATGGTAAAAGCCTACAACTTAGTGATACTTCTTCATACTTGGAATGTGTTATTAACAAAAAGTTAACTTGGCAAATACATACTGAGCATGCAATTTGTAAATCCAGAAAAAGGCTTCCATTTCATAAGCATCTTGCTGATGTTAAATGGGGCTGCAGTGAAGTCACCCTAAATTTAACTTATAAAACATATATTCAACCAATTTTGAACTATTGTACTGAGGTGCTGCTGGTCTCAGTTTCTGCTAAAATAATAACGCTTCTAGAGACTTTTCAAAACCAGACACTGAGAGTCATAACTGGAAAAGTTAAAACTAGCTTTAACTCTGCCAGTTATGATACAGCTTTCTTCCAGTTATGACCCAACTTTAGCCTTACATTTTTTAACCTAATCAGAGGCTATAATTAATGTGATACAAAGAAGGGCTACTATTTTCTATAATCAGAGATTTTCCTGCTTCCTTCTCTAGCTATCTCATTAATTATACTGCCATGACTTAAAAAGATACGTAAATTAAATTTCATCTCAAGTCATTAGTTTTTCAGTGCATTGTGTTTTCCAACAGCAACTACAACCTTTTTTTTAGTAATTTAATGTCGCATGAAATGTTAATATTAAGTTAAAAAACTTCTTAAGAAGAGTACTGAACTTTTGATAGTACTATATGCACTATAAAATATGCAAAAATTTGTTCTTCAGATATTTTCAATCTCCTATTGTATTTAATTATTTTCTATTATTAGTTTTATTTGCTAAATGGGACATGTAATTTCTGCAGTCACTACCTCCCTATTGTTTGGAAAAAATCTAATTCTCACCTTGGTTTTAATTATAGGCTGTCAAATGCTTAGAACGAGTTTTAGTCAACTACAAAGAAAATGATGTATCTACATCAAACAAACAAGTTGAAACAATATCTGAGAAACTTTCAAAAATTACTACTGAAGAGTCTAGTGAGAGTGAGGAAAATAATTGGACAAACCAATCCATTTTAAATTCTCTAAAGCAAACTGAAGAAACATCCAAACAAAAGAATATTGACACTCACATAAAGATTTATTGTAAATTAGGACATTTAAATTTAATATTGGAAGATTATCCTAAAGGTAAGTTATTCCATACATGTTCTTATACATTTTTATTTCTTTGTTATAGGATTCAAGGAAAAAGTTTTTAATTGTAGTGTCAAGATTTGCTATTTACATTCAGAATTTAAATTATTTTAAAATGTATTTGTAGGAAATCTGCTTCAAATTTTCTTAGGAGAAGTGCTAGTTATAAAAGATGACTATTTACTATTATATAATGTAGTAATTTTAAAAAAATAACTTCTTTCGAATGATGCCCTAAGGTTACATAGGATGCCTGATTTATTTGAGTAAAGTCTTCATAGTCATATACATAGCAATTTATGCATTTTATATGTTACTTTTATTAATTTGATGTATAATGAGGCGAACTATAAAAAGTTACTGATGGCTACCAAGAAGTAGCAGGTCATAAGGCACAACACAAGCATTGAGAAATACACCAGCAATAAAACTGAGACACAGGACCCGACACATTATGCAACAAACAGTTACTTTTTGTAATATAAATGCAATTTCCAATATCACATATCAACATATTGTAATAAAATTTTTGCTATATTCAGTTTATGGCCTGTCAACATTTTCCGGAAAAAAAGCTTAATTAATATCAAAAGTTTAAACTAACAAATGTCACTTACATATATTCAGCAATGTGATTGAACTGTAACTCACAGAAATTAAATAACTGTAATTAATTTAAAATGTTTGCAAACTTATTTTATTTCAGACTTACCAGTTGACTCAAAATATTCCATTGAATTTATTTATATTCAGATAATTACTTATATTCAAGATAATTTCTGATTTATTGTTTCCAATTTATCTAGAACAAATTGGAAACTTATATATTAAAGTTTATGACTATGTTTTATAAATTTCAGTAAGGCATTATTACAATTTCAGTATAAATACTTTGAAATCATAATTTATAGCTTGTTGATGTACTTAAAAAAGCAAATCACATTAATGTTTATTAGAATCAAATATCACAATTCATAATTCAAGTAAACTGTTAGTTACATTATAGTTAAGTTATAAAATTGTTAAACTCTCAATAATCAACTAAATTTAAATAGTTCAATTAATTAAATAAATGTTAAGCTGTGCCTCCAGAAAAATATATATATGAAATTTAGTGAGTGAAAGAGTAAGTGATCATCAATAAATGTAAATGTGTTATTCTTACTTGGTGTTTAATTAGCACTTTTAACTCTCAGAAACTGTAAACGATCCATTAGTTACTCTTGTTAACTTGTTTCAAATATTGAAGTTACTGTAGCGTATCTACCACTACAAAATTACAACTACAATTCACTAGTATATAAGACATGTTAACTCGACTCTATGTCGGGGTACCTTTTCATAGATGACGGTTGACATGGTCTGTAACTACTCTCCCCATATTACAATGACAAGTTGTGAATTGGGATTGGCTTTGTAAAAAAGGTATAAATTTCAAAGCTTTCTTAATATTTCTTAATTTTTAGCAAAACCGTGTGCACCTGACTTGCCACATGACACTTTGCAAATATTAATGGCTAATTTTTTATGGTATTAACGTAGAATGCTCTATGGAAAAGGGTATAAAACATTTGTCTTAGATTTTTCAATTCTAATTATTGTCTCCTATAATGTATGGAATACCGATTTTGATATATTGTTTGTTTAATTTTTAATAAATATAACTTAAAAATTATTAAATTTTAATTATGTTTTCAATTAAATGAAGAATTATTAACGTTATTTATTAATCATTATTTCAAAATAAAAATTAGCTAATGATTAAATAGGCTGGGCTCATACTAAAATAAATAATTTGAAAGAAAAAAAGGCAATGTTAATTGTTTCAATTTAAGTATTCCAATTTTAAATAAAATTTTTACTTCATGTAACTTTAATTTAGCTTATTTGTAAATAAGTAAAAAGTTGGTGTAGTTTTGTCTCTCTATCATGCTTATTTTTTTTCCCAGTTATAACCATAACATTACTGTTCTGATGTTAAATATTTGTGTACTTATATTTTTATTTCTCAAAATAATATTGTTTTTTTCTTCTTTTTTAGCTTTATCAGCTTATGAAAAGTTCTTTTGTTTGAATGAACATCACTGGAAAGTAATAATTTCTTTCGTATATTTGCTAAATGAAATTCTAATGTTTTAGCTACAATAAATTTGATTGCTAACCCAATAAAATTATAGAACTGATTTCATACAAATTTATATGTTCTAAATGTCTTAACCACATTTTTTTAAACATTTTATATTAGAGCTAATGAGACACAAGTTTTATGTGTATAATGACAAAATTTACTGAAGATCCCATGTTTAAAACACAAATATATTTTGTGAGATATTTAGAAAACTTTTTCCAAAATTGTAGTTTTCCTTTGCTTTGCAGAATATATGTTTAAAAAAACATACTAAATGATTAATTGTCAAATTTTTCATAAGTGCTTATGTCTTTATTTAACAAGGATTTCTCTAATCTTTTTAAAATTTTATTAAAAAAATGCTACATTTTTTGTTTGAAAGTTCAATCAGACCCTCAGCATTCCTGAATCCCAGGACAATTGCTCCTGTCTTCTCACCCTTGTGTTTGACCTTAGGAATAGCCTATCTACGCCATTTTAATACAGTATTCTATATGTCAACAAGGCCCTTGAAAATAATAAAACACTAAATTTTTTATTGGTTTAATAAGGAAAGAAAATATTCTTTAACCTTGATTACTGCAATTATCAAGTGAGGTTTTGGTTGAGTTTCTGAAACAATTCTAAGAGAGGAAAATAATTTTGGAATTAATTTTTGTACTTGCAACTAAAATGTAGGAATCCTGAACCTGCAACTGAAATGTAGTAAAGACTTTATTTTTTTAATGAGGAAATATAGTCGGGTTATTGGATACCTGTGTGCTGACTGATGTTGATATAATGTAAATGATTACTGATGTTGAAGATTAAATCAAGTTTTTTAAGGTAGATGAAAATGTTTCAGAAAGTTTCTGTTTGCATAAAAATGAAATTTATTATATATAGAATAAACAAAGAAAAGTATTGAATTTTAATTTTTGTTTGAAAAGTTTTTTCCATGTCAAATTTTAAACAGTAAATGAGTTTTCATCAATTCTACAATAAATTATTTGAAGCACAGTACTGTATCTAAAAGAGAGATTTTTGTAGAATATATTAAATGAATTAGTCAGTACAATGTGTTATCACATAGTCAAAAAAATATTAGCTGCATAGTATGATGTAAATTTTCAAAAGTAAGTATTCTTCTCTTTGATATTGCAAAATAATAAAGTGGTAGGATGGAAGAAATATGGTTTAAAATTATTATTGATTACAAAAAAAAGACAATAAGTAACACATAAAACCTGAGTTAAATGACTGAAATTAAATATCCTAAAAATTTAGTCATTTTTATTTGAATTTATCAAATAAATTTTAACAAAATTTTGAGGATTATTTATTTTTATTTGATTTTTTTAAAATTTTAGATTGAATATGTTTATTTCAAGAGAACATCAAATAGAAATCATCAAAACATGAAATTTAATTAGTTTTAATTTAATTTTTTTTTATGCAATAAGTAACACATAAAACCTGAGTTAAATGACTGAAATTAAATATCCTAAAAATTTAGTCATTTTTATTTGAATTTATCAAATAAATTGTAACAAAATTTTGAGGATTATTTATTTTTATTTGATTTTCTTTAAATTTTAGATTGAATATGTTTATTTCAAGAGAACACCAAATAGAAATCATCAAAACATGAAATTTAATTAGTTTTAACTCTTTCCTTGACTATGCTACCAACTAAATATGATAGACTCTTTTTAGAAAAGTTTTTGTTAATGTTAATTCATTGTATATTCATTTCTGTGATGTTTTTAATCTTTCAGAACTCAACTTTCATGTATGGACTTGGATTAGTCTACTTTCATTTCAATGCATACCATTGGTAAGTTTAGTTTTATTTGAAACTTAAACCTATAAAGATAAAAAACTAATCTCTAGTAAGGCACATTTTTGTAGAGTCAAATTATTTTTATTATTGTCTTAATATTGACAGCTTTTTATTTGAAAATTTTGTATTTTTGTTTATTATGATTAATTTGAAAATGTACATTTTGTACCAAAATGTAATTGTAAATCTGGATGTAAGGGTAAAACATTTCATTTTACTAGCTCTAATGTTAATTATTTGAGCTTCAGAGCGCTTGTAAAAAATTTCCCTAAAAATAGTAGTATTTCTGAAGTCATAGAAAATTTGCTTGAGAGCCATTTCTAGATAAGCGAATGGCTTGAGAGCCATTGGCTTATCACAGAACAGTGGCTTATCACAGATTGTGGAACTAGCAAACGTCATATTTGAGTCAGTTAAAAAACGCTGTACCCTCGGATAAATTGACATTCCAGATAACTTGACCTTTGTCAATTAAATTATTTCATAAAAGAAATAAATTATTTCATGAAAGAAATACTAGGTTTTACTATTAGTAACCTAGTATTTCTTTTATTACTGTATAATGTAATCCTAGTATTTGTAATCCTAGTAACTACAAATTCATTGTGCAAATTATATAAATGTTAGTAACAAATAAAAGAAAATTATATTTTTATTTATTTAGAAGCTACGGGTTAGTTTCAAAGGAGGACGGGTACATTGTTGGACAAGCCGTCCTCGGGGACGGGTAATATTTCTGAGTTTTTTCAAGCCCTGCCTAAACGGTCTTTTTTCTTGCAACCAGATGAAACTAATAATTTAAAGAGATAAATACATAATGGTTTTATTCTATGGATAAATTTTTTTGAAGTTTTTAGCAACCAGATTCTGTAAAGCACAACATAATACTATAATATTATTCATAATTATTATATTATTTCATAATACAATTCATAAATAATGGAGAAATAGAACTAAAACTTATTCTGGTGAGAAGCAACTTAGAAATGCTTGTTAAATTAAAATAAGAACCTAATAAACACACAGTTCTCGAGTATTTTAGGTAGCTTTATAGACAGTTCAGAAAAATATTATTTGATGAGCAAGACTGATACATATTTTATGTGAAGGTTTCTGGAAACTTAATGCCTGTATTTTATTTATTTGTATTTATTTAATTTGGAAGTTTAGTGATTCTACTTTTCATTTTAATTGACATGGTTTTATTTGTTTTGCCTTTTACAAGAGATGTTGTTGAGAATGGAAAGCATCTTAAAACAAATTTATTTACAAAATAAAGTAATTTCATTGAGACATTTGAAATCACGATGTTTATTTTGCATAATTAATATGTTTTTTTTTACCTTAACTGGTTAGCCATTGGGCTAAACTAGATCCTTTGGACCATTAATAGATAAAAAAAGTCTGAAGCAAGAATGAGATTTAATTGTAAATTTTCCTTTACATGTCCCAAGTTGGAAGAAGATCCCAAGGAAGAAGTTTAGGTATGAATTGGGCAATGGTGCATTTTCTACAATTGAAGGAAATATTAATTCCCTGCTCAAATTTAAGTAATTTCAAAAGTCCATTTTGGAGTCCTGTGAAAGCAGTCTGGTGGATTTGACTACTCTTAAAAATAGTAGTACCTCCCAGTTCATTGACATTGTACCAACATCAATAACATACCTGCCAACATTCATTCTTTTCGAGAATGGATTTTCCAAGTGGTAGTAAAACAATTACCGAAAAACAGTTTTACTCAAAGAGATATTTATATTTTAACCAGGTTGAAATTCGCTATCGTGAGGACTAATATGCTTTTTATTTATTTGTTGTAATTATTTATATTTATTTTATTTTATATTTATAATTATTTATATTTGTTGTATTGGTGGTCAAACTCATTTATAATTATTAATATAATTCAAAAAGTTTAGGGAAATAACATGAATTTTGCTAGCACTTTAAATATGAAAAAAAAAATCTTCCGGGGAAACCAGAAGAATTGGCAGATATGCAATAACCTTCATCTTATCTGACCTATATGTATAATTTTTTAAAAGACCATCATTTAATAGACTTCACGTCTTCATAAGATACTAAAATAGAATTTATTTCATCTGTAATAGGCAAAAAATTTAGATTGTAAAATTGGATTGTAACATGTTTTTGTTTACTCTACACAAGGGGAAGACAAGAAAATTCTTCAATAGTGTGGTCGCAAACAGAGGTTTGCCTGGTCGACTTTTTAACATTACATTGATAGGGTAAAAAATTATTGCATTAAAATGGTGGTCATTGAAGGAGGTGATTGCTGAATAGAGGTGGTTGTTGAATAAAAAGAGTTGCTGCTTTATAGAGGTGTTTGCTCAATAAAGATGTTCTGTTTCAGAAGTTTCACTGTATTAGGCTGTTTAAAACGTTTAATTTGGCAAAACAGAATTCATTCATGGGGATTCAAAGCAAGTAACATATTCATTTGAATTCAGTGCCTCAAAATCTTGCTTGATATCAAGATTATGTTTTACACTTGGAACCATTTCCTTGTAAGATGCAGACTTGATGGTTTGAAGGCTTTTAAGATATAAGTACGAATTAACTAAAACGATAATTTTGTAAAATAAACTCAAAAAGGAAGTTGACATATCTATGAGTGAACATATGTTTTTTTAGTGGATTTGAGTTTTTGATTCACAATCTCTATACTTTTACAATTAATATATTATGAAGCAGAAAATCGGCACATCCAAATGTAACACTTGCTAAGTATTTTTACGGCAAAAACAATGTATTAAATCTTTTTTTGTTATTTAATTTTATAATCATTGATACAGTTTTTGATTTTAGGTATAAAATTTTTACATTCTATTAAACTCAGTAATTTTTAAGAACAAAATCTATATAAAATTTAAATGAAACTAGTTAAATATTTCTTGTGGTATGAAAAGTAGAAAGCAAGACTTCTTTAAATTTTAATATGGAAGTGTCACAGTGGGGATGTTTTGCATCCAGTCTAGATTGCGCTTACAGTATGATTCACATCAGACTTTTTTTAGACAACATTATTGAACGACATTGTTACGGTGATGCGGGATTGCTCGTTTTGAGTGGAATTATACTGGTCTCCAGAACAGATATGCATGTTTAAATCGGAACCATGGCAGGCCAAATTTATCAGGGTATAATTTTGAAACAACATTTGCGGCATAGGCACAGAATGAGTATTTATGGATAACCTGCTCCCCCAAGAAAATTTCGTAAACAAATGTCTTTTTTATTTTATTACCGTCGTGATCAGCCGACCCAATTTTTAGACTTTACACGACTACCCATTGTCGTCGTCAGATAAAACTTATTGGAAGAGAACATACTTGGACTGTTACTAGAGAAAAAAAAAATTCAAATTTTCCTTGCCCTTATTAAAATTGTTACTGCAAAATAAATATATATATATANCAACTAAAAAATAAAATTTTTTGGAAATAATCTTAAAAAGAAGAAAAAAACGATGAAGTAATACACTAATGATTATTTCCAAAATGATGGTAAGGTGAACATCTTTCAAAAAAGAAAGAAAAATCCTAAAATCTTATGAGGAAAAAAAAAATTTTTTTTTTTAAATACCGGGAAAATTTATCGAATTTCGTTCCGGTTTTTTGGTTTTCCGGTTTTCTGATTTCCGGATAACGGGTTCTGTACTGTATATATATATATAATACACGCTACCAGTCAAAAGTTTGCGAAATTTTTGAAATCTGCAAAGAAAAAGTCTATATTCAAATGTTCATAGAGCAGCAAAAAATCATTCAAATTGCATGAAAATTTGATATGTTCTAAAGTAAACCCTATACAGTTAGTTACATATGATCAAATTGCAATACTTTGTTTTTTGCGAGCTGAATCCAGCTTTTCATCATGGATTGTTTTTATATTGAAAAAATTTGTTAAGTTTGAACACTTGCCAAAGTTGCAAAAAAAAAAATTTGTACTTTCTGTTAATGAAAAATAGTTATTTAAACCGTTCTATGTAAGCCCTCAAAATTTCAGGTCGATTTGATTTTTTGTGACGAAGTTATAGAATTTTGAAAAACATGTGTACTTTCTCGATTTTTGAGCATTCCACTTAAGTTTTTTGGTTTATGCATCTTCTACCAAAGAATTTTTTAATTTTAATGTTTTCTATATTTTCAAATAATTAATATTTATTATAAAACAAATATTCTTATTCATTATTGTAATTATTGTTATTACAAAGAATTTATTATGAATATAATTAAAATAATATCTCATAGATGTCACATTTCATCAAAAATTTGTTTGTTCTTGCTAACGAAACGATATTTATTGTTAATTTGAAGAATGTACTATAAAATTTCATTGACTAATTTTTTTTACTATTAAATTATTTTATTTGAAGCAACGTTGTAAATATGTCTCCTAGAGAAGAAATATCAACTGAAAAACGTGCAGCCATAGTATCTTTAAGAAAAGCAGGTCACACTATAGACAAAATCGCTGCATTAGAAAACGTGTCATTAGCATGCGTTCATTCTACAATTAAAAGGTTCGATGAAACAGTTGATTGTACACGTTCCGGAAGGCCCAAGATTACATCAAATCGAGATCATCGAAAAATTATTGTTACAAGTTTAAAAAATCGATTCGATACACCTGCTCAACTGAAGTGTAAATTATTCCTAGGTTCAGAAAAAGATTCAACTTCAACAATAAAACGGTGTTTGCGTAAAGCTGGCTTATTCGGACATGTTGCAGCAAAGAAACATCTTCTTAGACCCAAAAATAAAATACTATGATTAGAATGGGCTGGCAAACATCAGCATTGGTCAATCACAGATTGGAAAAGTGTACTATGGACTGATGAATCAAAATTTGACATTTTTGGGAACAAACCTCGCATGTTTGTAAGGCGTCGTGAAGGAGAACGAATGCAACCAAATTGCATTTGACCAACGGTTCAACACGGAGGGGGTGGCATAGTGGTTTGGGGATGTTTTGGAAACGATACTGTAGAAGATTTAATTTTTTTTTTTTTAATAACGGCAGGCACTTGAACTCTCGTTCTTCGCCTCGGAAAATGCCGGAAGTGTTGCTCATTTAGCGTTACCCAGTGGGCACCTGTGAACCTAAGTCACGGAGGCGAGCAACATTACNAAGATTTAATTAAAATAGAGGAATAATGAATCAAAAAAGTACCATTCTATTTTGCAACGTCATGCTATTCCTTTGGATGAAAAAGTTGTTGGTCCAAATTTTGTATTTCAGCAAGACAATGATCCCAAGCGCACGTCAAAATTTTGCAAAAATTATTTAAAAAAAGAAAGAAAACGAAGGCCGTTTGAAAATAATGACGTGGCAAGCTCAGAGTCCTGATTGTAACCCGAATTATTTGAAAATATAGAAAACATTAAAATTAAAAAGTTCTTTGGTAGAAGATGTATAAACCAAGACTGCATAATGCTCAAAAATCGAGAAAAGTACACGTTTTTCAAAATTCTATAACTTTGGCAAAAAAAATCAAATCTATCTGAAATTTTGATGGCTTACATAGAACGGTTTGAATAACTATTTTCCATTAACAACAGAAAGTACAAAAAATTTTTTTGAAAGTTTGGCAAGTGTTCAAACTTAAAAAATTTTTTCACCATAAAAACAACCCATGATGAAAAGATAAATTCAGTTTGCAAAAAACAAAGTATTGCAATTTGATCATGTGTAACTAACTGTAGAAGGTTTACTTTAGAACATATCAAATTTTCATGCAATTTGAATGATTTTTCGCTGCTCTATGAACATTTGAATTTAGACCTTTTCTTTGCAGTTTTCAAAATTTTTGCAAACTTTTGACCGGTAGTATATATATGAACCAAAATACACACACAGAGCGATAAAGGTAACTTTTTCTTAATGGATAACGAAAACATGACATCACTAATAAAATAATTATATTTAACAATCAATATCTTTTACTAACATTCAATACATAATTATGAAAATGGAAATGTCTTGATACAGTGCAGAATGCTCCTTGGTCTACGCCCTCATTTATAATTTTAGAATCCTCTTTTTCTTTGAGAATTTAGTTTAAAAAAAATATACAAATTTGTGGTTGCAAACTATTATTCAAGAGCAGGAAATAACTATATAAAAATCTCTATTAAGAAAAAACGAATTTGAAAACTTTAAAACCAGTTTGATTTTATAACCACCATTGTACAACCAACCCAATTTTTTGAGTTATAGCAGCATGCCAGCAGCTATGCATTGTTAATTTTTATTTTATTTAATTTGAACTTCTTAAAAAATATGTTTCGCCTAATTTAATAATGTAAAGTCATCGGAAAGGGCAACAAATAATAGTAAATAAATTTAAAAAATGGATTATTTTAACTTTATTTATTGTTTCGGTACATACTTGCTGTTTAATGTCGATTTATTGGTTTTTTCTTTTCTATTTTCTATCCTGTGCGATGAACTGGTATCCAGC